ATAGGTTAATAAAATGCAATCAATCAGAAACTACCAATATCGAGAAGGAAAACTGAGCTGTCTAATCTAGAAACGAAAGAACAAAATTAAAGAAAGTTCTGAGAAGAACAGAGTGAAAAATTATCTGGACTACCCAAAAGGTATGTTGAAATTTACCTTTTAGATATGAAGAACAGACACATGAACTGGAAAAATGGTAAGCTTTCTTTTTGGGAGAAAATTTGCATATTAAATATAGTGTAAAAGTCAGCAAACCAAACAGGAAACTACCCTACCACCAATATATGAGTTGTCTTTGTAGATGCTCTACTGACTTCTATACTAATTTCCATTACCTGCATCAAAGTCTCTCTAGACTCAGGTACAAAGAAGCAGGTTATTAAATAGAGGCAGATGTCTTAGAAAAATGCACTTTTTGAGAGACTTTCCAGAGGCAGCTGCCCCCCTGAATGAAATCAATCCCTGTCAAAAATCTCACAGACTAAGAGAAATTATCCTTCTGAAAATTAAATATGAACATGAATATTTTATAGAAACCTTTCCTCAGCTGTCAATAACATTTAGGAAATAAAAACAAAACCAAACTTATCTCTTCCTGTATCAGCAGTTTGCTTCCTTTTCTACACTTTGTTCAGTCTATTTTGTGGTATTATTGTCCTGTCCTTACAAGCCTGTGTCCAAAGACCCTCTCCAGGTTTCTTGTAGCCCCTTTAGGCACTGGAAGCTGCTCTAAGGTCTCCCCAGAGACTTCCCTTCTCCAGGATGAACAAGCCCAGCTCTCTCAGCCTGTCTTCATTCAGTAAACCTCACAATACCCCAGCAAGACAACAAAGGATTTTGTTAACACCGTTATTCCAGTTTCCGGACATAAAACCAAAACAGAGAAACCTGCACAGATACATGTACACCAGGAAACAGACAGATCCTGCATCAACGAAGGCCCAAGCAAGGCTTCCTTTTCTTAGTAGCACAGTCTTAGTTTTAGTTTCAGTTCAAATATAGCTGCTCATGCACTGAGAAAATGGGGAACCTACTTATTATTTGAAAATTAAGCTTAATACAAATATATAAACCAAGTATCTCTCCATTTCTGTTGTGAGCAAAAACACATTCAAATTTCTATCCACCAGTGTAACCCTACCACATCTGGATAATGCCAAAAGCTCAATAGCTCTTAAAAAATCCAGAATAGCTTCCACTTAATACAGACACACCCAGTACCATCAGCATACAACTAGATTCCAAACTGATCTGAACAAAAGCCATGAGAAGAAATGCTGGAAAAGGATGCAACACGTGCGTGCTGAAATGCCGAAAGACAAAGCAGAGAGTGAAGCATATAGCAAAGCCCTAGGTCAGTTTCTGAACTTTTGTACTTGGTTTTCCATATGCACATCAGTTTTGAATACCCAGAACCATATCAGTAAGTCACTTACCAAACCTTGCAGGAAAAAATGCACCCATATAAACTGACAATTGTAATGGATTTAGAGACTTTTGTACTTTTAGAACCAATTTTGGTCTTCCATCTACTGGAAAGAAAGTACATTCACAGAAAGAAGAAGGGAATAGATAATACTTAGTGGAATACCCAGAGCTATGCTATTACCAAAAGCCAAGCACATTTCCTATTAAAAATAGCAAAAATAATTTTTATTATTATTATTATTTGTATGAGAAACCAGATTTTTCCATTTAGGCTGGGGGAGGGGGTCAGGTCTTTATTGTTGTTGGGATTTTTTTGGCTGGTTGGTTGTTTTACTGAAGGATAACAACTTCATTTCACTCACTAGTTTCCAAACAAAAATCACAGCTGTGGGATTTGCAAAGCTGCTGTACACAGCACAGAACGGGTCTGGAAGGATCAGCATGAGTCAGCCTCAATGAATTCCCAATTTTGGGCCTGGTTTTGCCACTGAACTGCTGCTCCATCTGTAACTAACTCTCACGCTGCAACTCTGAGCCCCCAACAGGGGTGCCAGCAAGTGTGCACGTGCTGCTCCAGGTTGAATCCTTGCACCCTGCAGACACTGGACTTGCTCCTACTTGTGCACTTCCCAGAACTTACCCATGCATATGTGACAGAGATAAATGGACACGGGTTCAACGTTTGTGCCTAAGTATCCCCACCAGTACTTTAAGCTCAGACAACATGATTAATAGAAATATCTTTAGATGTCTCTCTGCAAATGATGAATGCTCCAATTATGTCTCATATACACATGACAACTAGGCAAACATCAAAAAAACCCTCAGCCTTTCTGTTTTTAAGTGAAACACATGGCTTTTACAGCACACAGAGAATCTCCACTTATCCCCTTCATTCATTGCCAGCTTCATTTATTTGTTTGTTTTCAGAAACTGTCTTCCCTAAACACATCTATGTTATTCCAAAGATGGAATTTGTATAGTAAGTGGATATGCCACATGTATATTTCAACATGAGGAGCTGCTGACTACTTGAAAAGTAGTTACTGAGAATTAACAGTAAAAGCCCCTCATATTTTTGTTATTTATTTTATGAATCTGCTGATGCCAATTCTCTGACAAAAACAAGAATCCTTTCAATTTTTTCCACCTTACCGCAAACGTGAAGATGGAACGTTAAAAAAACCCCACAAATACACGTCAAAAAGCAAAGCAAACTCAAACACAACTCTTCAGAGACCTAACAAAATCAAAATGATGCCATATGGTCCAGCAGGATAAAGCTGGGTAAGAGCAAGCAGAAATTACAGCAAAACCCAGGTATGGTAAAATAATACCCTACATTAGAATTCACATGCACAAATACTTCAAGTACATTGGAAGAGAAGAGAAATCTGGAATGCTTCAAGTTAATTATCTGTAGCACTCTTAAGTGAGGTGCCACTTACCAGCATGTCATGAGCATGAAATAGTTGAACCTCGCCATCTCAAAGGAAACAGCAATCTTGCATGTCTCTTAAGAATTCTGAAGACAAATTCAGAACTACAGCTGAGAATAACACCTTCCTTGCTTCCACAGGTGTTGTGTATGTTTACTACTCCTTGTTCAGGTGTTCTGTGTATTTTATTCTTACACAGTACACACAGAAATCCAACGCTCCACAGAAAGAATCCACCCCTATCCTAAACCAACATCCTGCCAAATTGGACCTTCAGATCCATGCCTTTGACCTCACTGATTTAAATCACAGCATCACCGTGCGCTTGAGAACATTATACAGCCAACTATGAAATGCTGCTGTTTACCAGATGAAACACATAGACAAGAGAAATCAGGTTATGCATAGAAGGCAATCTTACAAAAAGCTGTTCCAAGGAATGAAAGGAAGGTCTTCACAGGGCTGAACAGAGCCACATCTTGGCTAATTGATTTGTTAGCCTGCAGTTACCCTCGCTGAAGGGCCTTCCCTTCTCCAATGTTACCTTCTAAAAACTACTCTCCATACAGCAAATTTATAATTTCATCATATGCAGAAAGCCCCTCTCTCTCATCTATCCCACGCTCTTAGGCAGCAAAAGCAGCTGTACTTGTTCTCTTGCTTCAGGTTTCACCCACATGCACAGAAGTCAGGGATGTGATTTGCCCTTCCAGAATGTAACGCAACACAGACCAGTTATGTTGCAGTTCCCACTAATTTCTCCAAAAAGCTCTTGTTTTCCCCACCACTGCCAACATCTCCAAAATTATTTGAATCCAGATGTTTAACGTTTTTCTACAGAGAAAAAGAGGGACAGTCTGCTACTACTAAATAAAAGCACTAAGCACTGATTTTCTTTTTCAAATAACAAAAAAAGAACAAATCCTGGATTCTGTATCACAGCTGACAGAGAGCCTTGTTGCTGTCTTTTGATTTCTGAGAAGCCCTTGCAGTACATATAAGGGCAGCTCTTCTCACAAGGGTTTTGTACTAAAAAGTTTCTCTGCCTACAGTGTATCTGCTGCCTACCTTTAAAATGAAATGGGTAAACTGTTCTCCCAGTCTCTGAACGTGCATGCAGAGAACCATTCACATTTCTGTTTGTAGAGAACTGACTAAATACCTTAAGATTTATAGTTGCAATTTACTGAACAGTTCTAAAAACTGCTATTTCAAGCAGTTCACCTACATACTAAAAAGTCTTTTTATGAAAGCAGGATCATTTAAGCTCAGTCCACACTTGTCTTTTTGATCCTTTCATTCTGTCTTCCAATTTCTACAGTCTCTTTTCACAGCTTGCAAAAAATGTCATCTCCCTTCCATCACCAGTGTCACTGGAAGCAGAATCTGGGGAAACGATGGCCAAAAGATTAAATATTGCAGCCTGACATACAAAAAACCCCAAATCACAATGAAAAGGCAGGAAGGGATGTGCTATGTGTTGATTCATTCGTTTTTAATAAGTACATCACAGCTACAAATAACAGCAAGCTCTACAAAACACTGAAAAACAAAAAGGAGAATCGTCCCCCTGCATCCATTCTTGTGATGGAATAATACACCAACAGAAGCACCTCAGGTACACACTCCTCAGAAACAGGTCTCTTCTGGACCACAGGAAAACCATTTCAGTAAAGCCTGTGCCCCACAGAAGTGCTTCAGGAAGGACTGCATGTCATAATCTCTGTATCCAAGCCTCGGTACACCTACATACTGACCTTGCTCACACACATAAGAATTCCCATTTCCTAAATTAATAGATCTTAAAAAGATGTTGTTCTCTAAAAAGCATTTTAGAAGGCAGATACTGTCTCTGAAAAAGAAACAGTATTTTTACAGTTGGTAATGCCAGCAGGACCACAGTGTGCCCAGGCACAGCCGCAGCAATAAAAGACACCCATAGACAGGCAAACCTGCATGGTCCAGCAGCACTCATCACCTGCAATCCACATTTATGAAGGCAAAAAGGGCCCTTTGTGACATTCACGATCATGAAACCAAACCTTGCAATGAAATCCATTTGTCAACCATTTATTTAACACCATGTTTCCAAGTAGGATGTTAAGGGGGCAGGTCTTGGAATATCTTGTTTACCTTCACAGTAGGCGGAGTCCCCTTGGACAGAGAGAAAACCAGTCTTGCATTCACAAGTCGCTTTTGTGTTCCAGTTTTTGCACTCAGAATTTTCACCACATCTGTGTCCCTCTGCACAGAAGTTATGGCCTGAAATACAAGGTATTAAAACACGTTTATTTCAGCTATTCATATTGATTATTTATATTGATTGTATCACTCTGAAAAGCTTTGGTACAGAATCATAGAATGGTTTGGGTTTGAAAAGACATTAAAGCTCATCCAGTTCCAACCCCCTCCCACCAGCAGGGACACCTTCCACTAGACCACGTTGCTCCAAGCCCCTGTGTCCAACCTGGCCTTGAACACTGCCAGGGATGGGGCAGACACAGCTTCTCTGGGCAACCTGTGCCAGCGCCTCAGCACCCTCACAGGGGCCAACTTCTGTCTAAGATCTCATCTCAATCTCCCCTCTGTCAGGGTAAAGCCATTGCCCCTTGTCCTGTCCCTACAGGCCTTTGTCAAATGTTCCTCTCCAGGTTTCTTGTCAGCCCCTGTAGGCATTGCAAGACTGTTACAAGAAATTCTCTCTATAAGCCTATTTGATGCACAGAGGCTTGTTGGATTCCTCCATCTGTTCTTCTCAATAAAACCATTTTGTTAAAAAATGCATCTGTATAACTAGTTTCAGTCAGGAGGAAAGAAAACTTCAAAGCAGAAAGCCATGATAATACATTAAACTTCTACTGAACCCATGACAATACATTAGCCTTCTATTGAACTCCATGTAGGACAAAACATCACCTTATCTCTGAGAAGTGTAATACAAACTTACATCAAAAGGATGATAAAGTATAATATAAAAAGTCCTTCACAAATCCCTTATTATGTGTAATCACACATGCTTTTAGAAAAGAAAGAAGATGCTGTCTTAGAACACAAACCTATACTAGTCATCAAAACAAGCTCAACACCTCCTTGTCACCAAAAAATAGCTGGATTGTTTCTAGGGTTCCTCATTAATCCCTCCATCATAGTGTGCGTGGGAAAGAAGTTTTATCAGTCTCTCCTTTTTCCTTGAAACAAATTCTCAGTAGTTTCTTTGTGAACAGCTTCTTTCAACCCATACAAAGTAATTTCTAAAAATAGGATGAACTTTCCCACTTCCTTCCATAAAGGCACAACTGGCTCAAGTTCTTTCTTCCTGATTCTCAGTATTTCTCAAAGATGTGTCAGAACTTCTCTCTGCTGAAGCCTAAAGTGAAAGTAACTGCAACTTTATCTCTTTAAGGGCACTCCACTGGAAGTACTGTAAGACATAACACCTTACGGAATCGGACAACAGGAATTTCTTTCTCCCCATTAGTGCATTTTTGATGGATTTTTCTCTGTTAATATCCATGACTCGATTTCTATTTGCCTGTGATATATAAACAAGCTTTTTGGTAGTTCTTCTTTGTTCTGCTTTTGTCTGCTGCAAGGAGGGAAACCAGAACCCCAGACATACCACCAGCTACTTGTATCCCAACTTGTGCTTTTATGAATACAAGAACAGTTTCTGCCAATTCTGCCTGGTCATAAAGGAGCAATCCAGAAGTTCCAGTTCATTGATCCTAAACTTTCCTATCATCCCCTAAAGACAGCTAAGAAAAAGATAACCTGGACTTTTAAGATGTAAATGCCAGATTCAAATCTTTGTTCCTATCCTTTGCTTGGATATTCTTTAAAGAATTTTGGAAGACTTCAGCTTACACTAAATATAATTTTCACCTTCAGTGAGCAAATTTTCATAGGGGTACCCTGAAGCTGTTGTTGACTGAGGAATTTTTTATTTCTCTTTAAATATGGACTTCAGTCATCTACTACTTGGAAACTGAGGTTTCATCATTTTACTGCACTCCAGCTTTGCAAGTCTGGGGCTACAAACTCAACTTTGTTGAGGTCTGGGGTCATTTTTAAAAGAATGCCACACCTATTAGCAAAGAGGAGACTCTCAGTGCCAACATCCAAGTCTACACTTAAACTTCAGATTAATTTTATATCCTCCTCATGCTCAGTTAGCTCATTCTTTCATTCTAATCAAACTTGCTGAAGAACTCCATCCATGAAAACTGCAGATATCCCTTCTAGCCTTCACTCATTTCACAGTCTGGTAAAAAACACTCAGGCATTCCAGGTATGGCCTTGTCAAGCCTGGATACATTTCATACTGGTGAAAACAGGCACAGTTAAACTGCCTTTAGCCATTTATGCAATCACAGGATTTGACTTCTCATTTCTGCCTTTACAATTACAATCAAAATTGAACACTGGAACCCATCTCCCCAGATGTACCCATTTAGCATCTAATTTATACTCTCCAAGCAGCATTACTGTTCTGTTGGTATTCTAGATAATATCCAAGAAACAGGTTTTATAACATTTTCTTTATCACAGTTTTCCCTAAGACTCAGATATAGAATCATAGAATGGTTTGGGTTGGAAAGGACCTTAAGATCATCTAGTTACAATCTCCTGCCATGGGCAGGAACTTCCCAACACTAGACCATGTTGCCCAAGGCTCTGTCCAACCTGGCCTTGAACACTGCTAGGGATGGAGCATTTACCACTTCTCTGGGCAGCCTGTTCCAGCGCCTCAGCACCCTCACAGTAAAGAACTTCTTCCTTATATCTAACCTGAACTTCTCCTGTTAAAGTTTAAACCCGTTACCCCTTGTCCTATCGCTACAGTTCCTGATGAAGAGTCCCTCTCCAGCACCCTGAGGGGGGCCTACCCTCAGATACTGGAAGGCTGCTATGAGGTCTCCACACAGCTTCTCTTCTCCAGGCTGAACAGCCCCAACTTTCTCAGCCTGTCTTCATACAGGAAATGCTCCAGCCCCCTGATCATCCTTGTGGCCTCCTCTGGGCTTGCTCCAACATCTCCATGTCTAGTCTATATTCTGCTGCTTTAGAATAACTCTCCTTTGAACTCATATACAGTAGTAGGTTTATATTTGATTATCACTGGTAGATACTACTACTTGGAACCAATGTAACATATCGTGTATTAAGGAAGACACTATAAAAACCACACAGTTTTTAGTGTGGGTTACTACTGTCTTGAGATAGAAGGATTTTATTTATTTCAATTTCACTCTTGTGCAAACCTGTAAAAAAGTATTTCCTCTTTCTCAGCCTGTTTTAGTTACAATAGCCCTTATACAGCCTTCTGCAGCAAAAGACTTGGTTTTGTAGGCTTTTTCTATCCCAGGGAGTCAACATTTTACCTTGTGATCACTTCATGGCAAATTTATGACTTACAATGAGCCAAAGGGACACTTCTCAGGGTGAACTTTCAGCACAAGTCCCGTGTCCCACATCAATTGCTCTTCTCTAACACTTTCTCCCAGTCATGAGCCACTGATTAGTTTTCAGTATCACATCACAGCCCTATGAAATCTTCACTGTTTGCCACCCCTGAAACTCATCAGTAGATCTCATGCCTACACTAACTATCCATTTTGTACCAGTTAGAACCGTCAACTGATTTTTAAAAGCTCTCCACAAAAAACCGAAAAACCGTACTGCTTTTGTTCCCCTGTTATCAGCTCAAATAGGAACTGTCTCCATTCAGAATCACTCTTATTTTTTCAAGCTTGAAGGCTGTTAAAAGAGCATAGAAGAAAACAAGTGACACTCCCCCTTCTGTAACTTGCCTAATTAAAGGCTCTAAAGAACTTTCCATTGTTCTCCTCATTAGGAATGATACACCTCCTGCATCTCTAGATTGCCTTGGCATTTATCACTATAAAAGGCCTGTGAAATGCTGTCTCCTATCTTTTAAAAATGCTGACTAAAAGTGACTTTACTTCAATTTCCCATCACATTCCAGAAAACTTGTTCGACACCTCTGCAAGAAGAAAGTGGAAGCCACTCCTGTTAAGAACATGCACTACAGCATTGTGTGTTACCAAGCTTTTACAGAACAAATGTAATTTAAGGTTAACGAGCAGGAAAAAAACATGTACTCAATGGTATAGAAGAGTGAGGGTTCACTGTGCCTCTGCCAGAGTGGGAATACCATCAATTGGATCAGAGGTTTCCCAAGTACTTTTCTTTTGCAGTGAAGATACAAATTTAGCACTTCAAAAGAGCCAAGAGCTGCACGCCAAGGAAGTGCAGTTCTTGCATTTCTTAGAGCCTGGTCTCCACTCTCCCCAGCTGGGGCTTTGAAGGCAAGAAAAGAATAAAATGCTGTCGACTTTATATTAGTTCCTATTGGGCCTGAGTGCTGTTCCTGCTCTTCTGGCGTATAAAGGCCACCTCGTAGCTGGATTGTAATGTGATGAAATTTTCTAGCTGTCTTCTTCTCACCTTTAACAATCCCAATTTAATGTCTAATTTAGCTCAATATTTTAATCCTTTCTTACTCAGCAGAACAATCAGGAACGTACACAGGGCCACTGAGTACAACCACCATGCTTATATTCCTGACTGAAAAGGGAGGGACCTTAGCACTGATTTAAACATCAATCTATTCATGGCCAGTCTATTTACGGGAGCAGTTACTTGTCCCCAAGCAAGCAGAACGGAAAAGAACACAAACATTGATTTTTATTAATTCCTTGTGTGAAATGGACTATAAGGTTCATTTAAAACACCTACACAGATGGGAAAATCACCCCTTGATCCTGCAGTGGGATCTGAATCTCAACCCGGATGGCAGCTGGCAGAAGGCATGCATTCCCATTGCCCAGGTGAAAACAGCTGAATTACTGACACTTCCAAATATTCAGCAAGGTCTTACCTGAGACAGTCAGCTCCTCTCTAAATGCAAGAAATGACTTCAAATAGAATCATCGCATCTGAGTAAGCAGGCAACTGGAGAGGATTTGAAAGGAGCACACCCAATTTTAAGTAGTCCTGACCATTATAAATTACTAAGACAATCCTGAAAACGGTCAGATTTCATGCTAGCAGACAGAAAACTATCACTTCTGCAGCATCAGGAACTGCACAACTGACTGGGGCTGGTTCCAAGTCACATTATCTAAACTTAAGCATGTATTCCATTGTGAGACACCTCAATATTGCTCTTATTTTTCCAAGCTTCTCGACATCTTCAGGTTCCAGTTCCCAGAATCTGCTTTTCCAGAGCAGCATTTAAG